CATACGGTAGGGAAACACTTCTCAAACTTTAATGTGCATATAAGTTATATAGATATTTTGCTAAACTGTGGGTTCCAATTCACTAGACCCAGATGGGGCCTGTGGTTTAAGCACTTGTAACACACTTCCAACTTCCCAAGGTGTTTTTGATTTCCCCAAAGACACTCTGCATGTTGAGAAAGAAACTAAAATCCAGTAATGAGTGGAGAGGGACAAAGGCATATGCCCACCTTCTAGCTCACCATCATAAAAAAAAAAAAATTGAAAAAACAACCACCATCCACCTGCCATTTGGAGTCCCTCATCTTTTAGCACAATAGCTCTCTGACATTTCAATGCTAAGAATTGACATATCCATCCACAGGGAGAAGGCATAGCCTATGTAAACATTTCTCTGTCTGGAAACTTGATGGACATTGGTCAAATAGTCAAAGGAGTACCAATAACAAGGTGACAACATCTGCCATAGTGAAAGAACAAAGTCAGGGCCAAGAACCTAAATAGTTGTCTTTATCAGAATTAGGGCACTCTGGTAAACACACCAGTGGTGACAGATCCTTTGGAAAATTGTAACAAATCTTTCTAGTGGGCTTTTTTTTTTTTCTTCTGGTGGACCGATCAGCATGGAATAGATCCTCTTTACTTTCTCACATATAAAACAAATTCAGATTCAAAAATTAATTCCATAGTAAACTACTATTTTAGGAGGAAACAAATAAGAAAAATACTTGATTATGTGAAAACATTAGAGGTGCTCTAATCTCGTTTGAATGATTTACTTCAAAGCACAAGAATTATAGTAGAAATCAATACTCTGGGTTAATCTCATTTTACGGGTGTCTATATTTACTGGAATTTTTTTTCTAAAAGCAGTTCCCTCTTTAGGCAGTGGAGACAGGCCAGCTATATTCAGTTGCTTTTAGCTGTGGTCAGAGGTGGGACACATCCTACAATGACCTCAGGAAGGACTTTCAGGGGTGCCTTTGGCATGATGATAATGTTTACTCAGCAGGGAGCTACCACACGTATTTCAGCAGGGTGTGTGCATGAGTGTGTGAGTGTGTGTGTTGGGGGTGGGGTGTGCATTCTTTAATGGCCAACTAGAATATCAGAAGCCTCATTTCCTGGCTAGACAACAAGCATCCTGCCCTGAACTTGGACAGTGCTCAGCACATCTTTCCAATTGTTGAGTGAGTGATGGCTGTCACCATGACAGCTGTCCCTCCATTGCAGTATTATTCTTGGAAATGAGGTGATCTAAAAATTACAAGAGGAGGGTTTTGCTAGCTGGCTGTTTATAGCAACCTTTGCCATTTGGAAAGCATAATATCTTTGTTTCAGAACAAAGTGTATAAGTAGAGATATATCCAAAAACCATATAATGGAATAATAGATGCTTTTGTTTTTGTTGGTTTTTCTTTCTGGGTATCTTCTAACAAATGACTCGTAAAAGGGTCTTGCCGATTTATTTTCTTCAACTCTCCTTTGGGACTACAGTTTTCTTGCTATTTCTTCAGAAATGGAAACACTGATTTATATTTCACAGGCATTTTCAAAGGCACTACGGCACAGTGGGACCTGAGTCCACTTGTCTTCATTCCTTTGATAAGCAGGAAAGCATCCTGGAGGAGAGGCAGGCACAGGCTGTCACTGAGAAGCTGGAGTTCTTGTTCCCTGTGAGAGCCATTCATTCCATCACTAGCCTCACACCTTACTTAAACTCTCCAGACAAAAATAGATCTTCACTTCAGCTGGAAAAATCAGTGAGATGAAGAAGTACAGAACCACAAGTCTAAATACTTCAGCTCTGTCTGTGAAAATGACTCCCTATCGGGAGGTCACCTTGGGCATGTCAGTTGACTTAACATGGCAAAAAAAATTGATCCACCTTTCCTGTCAACCCAGCGAACACCCCCTTTTGAACATAATGATGAGCACAAAGAAAATTAATTTGAAGCTAAAAAGCTATCAGATTGGACCACCACTTGTGACACTTGTATAGAGAACAAAATATGGGGGGCGGGCGAACACCTTCAAAATAAGTGACAAATTTTGAAAATATAACCAATTTCAATTAATAATTATTTCACTATATCAATTAATTTCCTATAGGATGTAACTCTGAAAATAAAACCCACAGTTGGACAATTACCTTTTCTTCATTACTCTCCTTTCTTTACAGGAGTGCTTTCTTCCCAGTGAGTTTTACACTCCTCATGGGCAGTAATAATGTCATTTCATTCATAGTTTAGGGATAAATCAAAAGATCTCTGTGCTGCACATGAGCTCAACATGGGCAAAGAGATGAGAAAGAATTCCAGCCTGGCTTCTAAAGAGCTCCTCCTATGTTGGAAGAGAATAAATGCCATGAATTTTCTAGTTACTCTATCTCTTAAAGTGGAGCAACTGCATTAAGCTAGAATACAATAGGGATTCGAAGAGCAAATTGAGAAGATAAGAACATCGGTACCTTACTTCCCTCTTAGGGTCCTAGCCCTGGCACTGTGGCAACAATCATTGTCCTGTGGCAAGAATCAAGTCCTGCTACTTGTAGCTCTGAGTTCTGATTCCAATTCTACCTTCCCTTGAGTTTAGATATATACTCCTTTGTTTTGATAACATGGAAATATCTATGTACAGTGATTCTTGGTACATCCATGAATTTTACAATTATAATACCACTAATAACAGTCATTTATGCTGGGCTTGGTGGCACATGCCTGTAATCCTAGTGGCTTGGGAGGCTGAGGCAGGAGGATCTCTAGTTCAAGCCAGCCTCAGCAATGGCAAGGTGCTAAGCAACTGAGTGAGACCCTTTCTCTAAATAAAATACAAAACAGGACTGGGGATGTGGTTCAGTGGTCTATTGCCCCTGAGTTCAATCCCTGGTACCCAAAAAATATCTGCCATTTCCTGAACATATATTAAATGATGTGTTCTCCAAATAGAGAATCTAATTAAATCTACTCAAAAACCCTCCAAGCTACCTATCATTAGTCCCAGTACAGAGAAAAGAAAATTGAAGCCTACAGATCTTATCTAACCTCATCCATTTGGAAAATGGAGAAGAAGGTTTTGGAAACAGGTGTGTCTAAAATCTCTGTGCTCCCATTATAGGAACCTGGAATGTCTGCAACACATTCTTGTCTTGGGCAAAAGGCAGTCATGTGTCTGTCAGGTTGTTATGGCTTCTTGAATAACTGATATACAATGTGATAGGGATAATGGTGGGGTAATCAACTAAGCTACTATTAAAATGCTGCCTAATGATGACAGAGATGCAGCTAAATGCTGGGATGTAGTTACTACCTTTAGTCAAAAGAAACACAATTCATCTTTCCAGGATAATAGACTCTACATGGTTTGTGACACAACAAGGAAGAGTCTAGATTCTGAAAACTAAGTTTTTATTCCTTCCCTCATGAGATCATCCACAATGGCTTTTAAAAAGAATCGCCAATGCAGAGACCAGAAAGAACAAAAGAGAAGTCACAACTTGGGAGAAAAAAGACTTACAGTGTTTATCACTCCACCAAAGAAACTTCTGCAAACTAATTAGAAAAAGACAAAGAACCCAAAAGAGAAACCAACAAAAGGACTGAATAGGCTTTCCCCTAACAGCAAGACACAAAGGGCTGATAAGAGGGAAAAGATACACAGCCTCATTAGAAATCAGGGAGATGAATATTAAAACCATAATGAGCTGTCATATTACATAAGCCAGACTGGCAAAACATTATAAGCCCAGTGAGAATATGGAGTAACCCTGGCACTTACACAAGGCTGGTGGAATGCCGAAGAGGTAGATCTGGGAAGCAATTTGGCATTAAAGATTACTCATAAAGAGCCATAGAGACAATTTTGTCCATGTACATAAGGAGATGAATGATTCATAGCAACCTGTATAATGATAACAAAGATAAAAAGGAAAGCAATCTAAATATCCATTAACAGATTCACTCACTTATTCAGTAAATGAACAAGTAGATGGTGGTATGTTCATGGGATGGAATATTATCTAGCCATGAAAATAAGGAAGTATAGCAACATGTAACAGGATGAATTCATCTGGAACTAAAGATTGAACTAAAGATTTTCTGTTTCAGAAAAGCATACAGAAGAGGTTCCATTTATAAAGTCCTTTGTTGTGCAAGGCTGAAAAGCAAAGCAAGGGAACAATACAAGAAAATTTCAGGTCAGGACAGGGATAGACTGTGAAGGAACAGGGGAGCAATGGATCCTAGGAGGACTCTCAGAAGATGAATCTAGTCTTCTTTTTTCCTGAAGTTGGTGGGAGGTGCCCAGGTGATCACTGCATAATGTTTTTGTCCTGTTGTTGTTGTTGTTGTGGGAGATACACATAGCATAAAAAATTATCATTCTAACCCTATACCTTCACATTGCTGTGGAACCCTCACAGCAGTATTTGATTGAAAGAGTTATAGTCATGTTTGGTGATATTTCTATCATCTTCAAATCTCTGAAGAGTTTTAGTCATCTCATGAACAGAAGAACATTTTGGCAAGATTTTATAAAGAAAACCTTGCTTTTTATTGTAGAGGAAAGATCATCACTGAGTTACTTGGAGGCAAAATTAATACAATATTTGGAGAAAGATTAAGTTGTTTATCCCCTGAAATAATTAAAAAGCAGCAGTGTATTTTCAATGACATCAACAGGTTCAATGCCACTTAGAGTTTAAGAAGGTCTAGCTACAACATTCTGGGTTAATTGTAAAACTCATTTCAAGTCAGATATTTGTTTTATTACATTAATTAGATTTCATCTCTCTAATTATTTTACAGCCCAATAGTTTTTCTAAAAAAGTATGATACATTTGCTTCTGGACACTTTCCAAATAATACATAATTAGAAATGGCAAATAATTGTTTTATGATGTTTTCCCTAAAACTAACCATTGATGTGTTCTGTGAAAAGCAAGGATAAAACAGTAGACATAGAATACACAGTGGAGTTATTAAAAATTTTTATCAACTCACCCTTTTGAGCATTATTGGCCTCACTCTTTTTTCAGTGTTGGGATTTCAGACCCAAGCTTAGCTATTTCTTGCTGCAGTTGTTCATTTGTTCCCAGTGCCTGTTGCAGCATGACTTGGTCATTGTTTAAATGCATTTGTAACTTAAGAAACTGAGGGCAGGGAAAAAAAAAAAAAGGAGGGGAGACTATGTTAGGCAAGAATTCAGCATTATAATAAAAGAAGCCATTGAATGCCAAAGCTGATTATGTAACAAACCCCATCAAGGTCTGCAAAATGCCACAGGAGAATGAAGCAGGATGGTAATTTTCAAGTCAGTTCTAATTTCTTTTCTGCCTGCAGGAGCTCTTCGTTAAAAACAATATATTATTTTTTTTTAAAGCCTGGCGAGACTTCAGAAGAGTAGTTTAACCTGCTATACTTTATGACATTTTATATAGCTAATTCATTTTTCAACAGTTCATTCATTTAGTAATTACAGAAGATTATCTGATACAGTTCTCTTTTATAAACTGGATTTTTTTCCTTACGAAGTAAGATTTGTTTACATTTTAAGTTTTTATTTATTTTTTATTTTTGTGGTACTGGGGACCAAATCCAGAGCATTACACATGCTAAACAATCACTCTACCACTGAGTTACATCCCCATCCCTGTTTAGATTTTAAAATGTTTTTTTTTTGGCCTGATAGTTCCATAAATATTCACAATGTATAATTCTGTGTTCCACATTTATCATAAAAGCCTTAGCCAACAACATACCATGAATAATAATAGTAATACACTTTGCTGGTTCTGCATATTTAGGATTTTAATTAAAATTAAAATTCTTACCTACTAAGAAGGTAGCATATAGATGATTTGTGGCTAGCAACATGCAAAAATAAATTAAAATTATAAATAATTGTTTTATCATCCAAATACCTGAGTATTTTCTGAATAATGAAGCGGCAACAGGGTCCAATGGAAACCTTTGGACAATCAATTCAGATTTCTGTTTTCTTGGTTACAAACTGTAAATAAAAATATAACTAATCTTATTCAGAATGAAATGAAACTCTAAGTGTACTGCATAAACCTAATTATAATTTGTTGGGGCATTTGCTTAAGTATTTTCTCAAATTCATATTTAGTGTAATACATACACACCCAATTTATAATGTTCCACACAGTGTTGACTCATCACATATCTATAATATCTACATAAAATACATATACATGCATAAATGTATAGATGTATATATGTTTGTATGTATATATGTATATGTGTGTTTATGTATGTATAAGTACATGTATAATCATATGCCCATGTTTGCCTCATGCTGTAGATGATACCTTCTCAGCCAGTGAGATCTATCCAACATACTGAACTGTTCATGTGCTCCTGTCTATAAAGTATTAGTGCATATATTGCAAAGACCCTGTGCTAAATGGTACTCTACCTTATTTCCTGAGTTGAGTTCTAGAACGCATATTATTTACATTGCTGTAGATGTTCTTTCCACTACTTACTTTGTGTTGAGTAGTTTTGACCCATAATTGTATAACAAAAAAAAAAAAACAAAAACTGTGTATCTGATACGTATTCCACAAAATGGTGGTGAGAGTGGTAAGTAGTATCCATGATGAAATTAAGGAAATGACCAAGGAAAGATCATGAAACACTGAGTGAAGGTCTTCTGAACTTCATAAACATCACTGAAAGTTGGGAGAACAACCAGCAAAGGCAGATTATCAGTGTTGATGGTCGGGAGAGATGTCCTCCAAGGAACCCACACAGAAGTAATTTAGCACTTCAGGAAAATGTCATTGAATTATACCAGGTGTGCTAAATCTAAAAGTTTTCTGGAGACATGATATTTTTTGGAAAGTAATAATAAAAATACAATTCTTTGAGGGACAGGAGATGTTTAAGAAACTGGTTAAATCACATGAGGCATATCAATGTGTGAAGAGATGGACCACATGTGGTGAAATAGTAAAAGAATAAAAAGGATATAAACTATGTCCAAACAGAGAAAATAAATATTAAGCTCACCTAAGTTTAAATCTCATCTCTCGAGGGAGTTGAGAGGCATAAAATGGCAGCAAACAGTGGTAAATCAGTCAATAAAGATTCATCTCACCTCCCCAACAATGTTTGGCTAAGTGGTTAGTGAATGAATCTACAAGCAGTTCAGGTGACCCAAGAAAAATGAACCTCTATCTAGAAAGTGACCAACCTTGTTTTCCAAATGATAGGAAAAATGCGACAAAAAATTACACTAGCAAGAAGATTCCAAGCTCCGTATACACTTTTGATATTGAAAAATAAGAATTCAAAGATTTCATAGCTAAGTTATACCTTTAATTAGAAGACAATGGGTTTTTAAAATTACTTATTTAGAGGAAAACTTCATGGGGATCCAAAACAGATCTGCACATCATTTTGTATGCCTTTTTTCTAGGCTCACCTTACATGAAATGAGTCTCTGGCACTCAATCAAATTGATTCTTAGAAAATAAAACTTTGCTTCCAAATGTTTGATTTGTCTCCAATTTTTTTTTATTTTTATATTTTCTACAAATATTTCACCCCTTTCATTTTTAGAGAGAAAAGTATGTGAATTCTACCTACCCTTCCCTATCATCTCAACCTTTCCTATACACCCATATTTAGGGGAAAGAAAAGTTATAAAATTCTAAGAAAATTCTTGTCACAGCAAATTAAACAAGAGTGTTTAACCTCTGTCTAACATTTGACCTTTTCTAGTGAGTCATCAGCAGTTTGGGGGCTGAAGTGGTAAGCAAAGAGGCAGCAGAAGAAGAAAGGAGCCAGAAAAAGTGACAGATTCATTCTCTTGGCAGTTAGCGGGCTCACTATGACAGCTGGAGATAGTGCAGTCAATAAGATGCAGTCCCTGTCATCACAGAACTTCATTCTAAAAGTAGAAAACTAAAAAAAAGGGGGACTGGGGTTGTGGCTCAGTGGCAGAGCACTTGCCTAGCATGTGTGAGGTACTGGGTTCGATTCTCAGCACCACATATAAATAAATTAATTAATTAAATAAAGGTCCATCAACGACTAAAAAAAATTAAAAGAAAGAAAATTAATAAATGGAGAACAATACAACAAATACAATTTGGGCCTATGATGAAAGAAATGAATGAGGACTAAGGAATAAAACAGCTGCTGTGTGTAATGGCCATGGAGACCAACTTTAGACAGAATATCCAAGGTGAAATGAGCCAGGGGAAGAGAACACAGCATTTCCTCATGGACAACAATCGGCATAACTGGTGGAAGGAGGGTGAGGAGCAAAGGAGGATTCTCAACAGACCAGCAGTGACTGGTTTGCCTCTTGCAAAGATCATGCTGTTTGATTTACAAAGAATGTGCTGAAAAAGTCCAAGAGCAAGAGTGGAGGGGCCATTGCAAGAGTCTTGGTGACAAGAGTGGTTATCTAGGACCAGCATGGGGAAGGGAAGCTGGAGGGAAGTGACAAGATGTGACTTGCTGGTAGGATATGTGTGAGGATGCAAGAAAAGGGAAGAATTGACAAGGACTCACAAATCCAATCTTGAGCATTTGGGCAGTCAGTGGTGATAAGTACTGAGATGATAAGGCTGAAGACTGCAGAAATGTTTGGGGAGAAAGGATAGGGTGATTGAAATTGAGAATTCCATTTCATGGTCTTTCTATGGATTGACCCTGCATTTATTGTGTCAGAAAAGTCAATAAGCAGAAATTCACCTACCAATAACTTTATTGCTGGTCCTGTTTCAGCCACAAAATATCTGCCTTATAAAATGAGGAGATTACAAAACTAAATACAGTATTATTCCTCTAAGCCTAGCATAATCGTAACCATGTGAGAACACAGTGAGTTCCACCCAACGCATAGCACGTTATGAGGTTCTCAAAGGAAAGTACTGAATATGTGTAGAAGGCTCATTAATTTAGTATCCAGAAATGTGTTGTTGAATGCAGAAGTGCTAAAAATAAAAGTAGAAAACTAAAAGTAGTATCATGGCTTCCTCCCCATAAAAGCTTTCTCTAACTGGTTAACCAGTGGCTCTTGCTCCTGTTCATGAATCCTGACCTAGTTTATAAGAGTTTATAAGCATCAAAACAAGGACTTTGACAAAACTCACAGTCTAAAGTTTTTATTGCCCTGTTTGGAGAAAAAACTATCATATTTAGGGATGAGATGCCCCTAATTTTCCTTGAATTTCTTTTGCCATTGAAATTGAGAAGACACCTGCAGGTCGTACGTGGATTTCTTTAATTCGGGTTCCTGTCCACAGGACAAATTATTAACTGTACCACTGTCTCAACCGTATATGAGATTACTCACACAAAACTAAAAATGGGCCTTTGTGTCATATCAGTTGTTCCTCTATGTGGAGATCTCAATGTTTTTATATGAAATAGTGTATGGAGTAATAGATAGTGCCCAGACTTGATTGTCTACTGGTATGTTAATCAACTTGTCTTCAGAATTTGAAGTGATGAGATATGTAATTTGTTCTTGAGTATCTGTACTCAAGCGAATGAGAATGAGATTTGCCAGTCACATCAATTCTAGGAACATTAAGTGAATGTGTATCATGTGCCTGAAACTAGGCTAGGAGCCACAGATATGGAATTAATATTATGTATGGTGTTTTCATAAATTGCTACAAACTCCCTCACCTAATTTTAAGAGTAGCTAATATTTATTGGATACTTTGATAAAAGGTATCATATGTTAAACAGTTTTAAGGATTAACTCAGAACCAGTTGCTTTACACATAAATTTTCTCACATGCAAGGGATAGAATAACCAACTTGTCCCAATTTGCCTGAGACTTTTTAAAATTAAGGTAAAATTCATATAACACAAAGTTAACCATTTTAAAGTAGCTGATTCAGTAGCATTTAGTACATTTACAATGTTGCTCAACCACAACTTCTAGCTAGTGTCAAAATTCATTACTCTCAAGATATCTACCCCATTAAGCATGAACTATTTCCACCTCCTCCAATTGCTGTCAATCACCAATCTGTCTTCTATTTCTATGGATTTACCTATTCTGAATATTTCGTATAAATCCAATCATCCAGATATTTTGTGTATGACTTCTTTCACATAGCTTATTGCATTTAATGTACACCATTTTTATGACTAAACAATTCCATTGAATGTATAAACCACATTTGTTTATTCATTGTCTATAGAATGTCATTGGGTTATTTCTACCTTTTGGTTATCATTAATACTGCTTCCATGAAAAATCATGTGCACATATTTGAGTATCTGTTTTTCCATTCTTTGGGGTATATTCCTAGGAGTAGAATTGTTGGGTTACATTCTAATTCTAAAATTAACTATTTAAGGAGCCACTTAACTCTTTTCTACAGTAACTAAACCCTTTAACATCACTACCAGCAATGTACAAAGATTTTTTTCACATCCTTGCCAACAACTATGATCCTCCTCTTTTTTTTCTCTTTTATTTACAGCCATTCTAGTGGATGTGAAGTGTAATATCTTTGTGATTTTGAGTTTCATTTCCTTAATGCCTAATGATATTGAGCATCTTTTAAGATGCTTACTGGCTATTTGTTTAATATCCTTTAGGGAAATGTCTGCTCATGTACTTTGCCCATGTTTTACTTAGGTTGTTTGTCCTTGTTGTTGAGATGTGAGGATTTTGTTCATATTGTGAATACTAAACCCTTATTAGATTATATTATTTGCAGATATTTTCTTCCTTTACTTAAATAATATCATCATAATAATATCCTCTGATGAACAAAACATTTAAATTTTGATGAAACCAAATTTATCTATTTTTCCTTTGTTTATATTTTTGGTACCACATATAAAAATCCATTGTTAAATCTAAAGTCACAAAAATTTAGAACTATGCTTCCTTCTAAGAGTTGTATAGTTCTAATTCTTATATATTAGATTGTTGTTCCACATTGCATTAATTTTTGTGTACAGTGTGAAACAGGGATAAAACTTCATTCTCTTGAGTGTAGATA